CAACTGTATAATATCTGGTGGCGATTACTTTGAAGGGAACAAAATAGATATCCATGAATAAATAATTTTTGAAAAAACACAAAATTCGCAATGCGTTTTGGATAGACCTCGTACATTTAGTGGAAGAGTTGATTGGTTTCCGGTTTTAGGTTGAAAATCATTTGGGACTATAATGATTAACAGTTTCAGCGGATTTTTGGTGCTACGGTTTATTCAAAAGATTTTGAGAGTTCGATTAGTATAGGACTGTTTGCAGATAAGCAGGAAATATTTTCACATAGACGTAGATAAAAAAATATATTCCATGCGTTCACCAAATCGACCTAATAGTTTCGGCTGTGCGTTGATTATTAATTTATCAATTAGTAACTCAGCCAGCCCAAGCGTCGTTGCATTATAGAAGTTTAGGTAACTCGAACTTTGCTAAATTCAATCTTAGGAAGTTCTATTACAGGTCGTTGTGTATTAGGTGATTCAGTATTTCTTTATACTTAGTTCTTTAATATAGTAATAATTCTTTTCTTTTTCAGGTTTCCGTGTCCAACGCCTACGTGACCCTAATAAGAGGTCAATAACGAGGTCGCAAGGCTCTGTCACAGTGAAACGGTAAGAGTTAGTCAGTTATGTTTTCAAGTTATACGTTATTGTGGCGTAAATATTGTCTGGTGAATTTTTGATCTGGCGGTTTTTAAAAATGGCTTAACTTGCAAATTCCAAAATGGTATGTTTTGTCGTTTACAAACTAGACTATCCAAACCTTTTGGGAAAAATCATTCCTTTGGACATGGCTTTTGATGAGTTATCATTACAAATTGGTTAGTCCAAAAATTGGTTAGACACGCACCTGTTATGGGAGATTTTGAAGTAAAACCACTTGGACGTTTTTTTAATATTATATTGAACACTTATTACATAAAACTTATTTGAATTATCAACTGTCGAACTATAACTGCTACAATAATACTCCTTTCAACAACTGGTCGTGGGTTTTTATTATGTCGATTGATGACTTAGATTTTTGATTACAATTATAGGAAAAATTCATTGTTTGTTGTTCACAAGAGAAATGGACTAAACGGATGTTAGTTATTTACAAATTAATTATTGATCATTTTGGTAATGACATTATCTTACGACAATAGTAAATATTACTTGTGTACTTTAATGAAACTTTCTTCGGAAATATTTAGAATAGATTAAGAAAGAACTACATAATAATTACGAATGAAATACGCAATTATCTGTGGTAACAAGCCAAAACTTGACATACAGAGTGTACATAACATGATAGTACATTACACACCTCAGTTTTAACGTTCCACGTCTCTAATTGCGAAAAGTAGACGGTGGGCGCGGTGGAAAAGAAAATGTTAGAAGCGTTCGAAGGTGTTGTAGCAGAATGATGAGGATGCCGTGGATAGAAAAGGTTAAAAATGAAGAGGTATTAGAAAGAGTATGAAAGTAGATATTGGAAACAGGCGAAATAGGTTGGTAGGACACCTTCTCATGCATAAAGGGCTAGTTATACACACTAGAAGGTGAAGTAGGAGTCAGGGGCGGATCTTGAATTTGTGGGGCCCTGGGCTAATACTGCTTAGGGGCCCTACCTAATTACCCAACCAATTGCCATTTTGTCAAAAAACAGTTTTCTGTAGTGATGTAGATATATATAATATATGTTAACTACAGGAAGAAAATAGGACAACAAAATATTTTATTTATTTATTAAAACATTATTTATTGCAAAATAAATTGACAGGCTATGAATGGTCATGTTATATAAATTATAAAGTAACCTTTCTGCATTTTTGTGCTGCAAATTCTTTTATTTGGTCATCGCACTGTAAGTCCTTTGTTAAATCGCAATTTATGGAATGAACTGATAAATAATTTAGTCGATAGTTCGACATTGTTGTCCTGTATTTGTTTTCTATATACGACATCCTGGAGAAAGAACGCTCCGCTTCACAGCTAGTGATCGGCAACGTTAACAAAATCTTTAAGATGGTACCTATAGCAGTTTGGTAAAATGTCAACAAATTTCTTTTCATAAATTACCCAAAACATTTCGCTGCAAGAGGTGTAAGATTCTGTCTTAGACTACAGTAATTAAAATTCTAACTGAATGCACTCATTCACTAAATGTCCGTCTACGTCATTTGGATAATAATAATTTCTAACAATAACAAAGTCAATTCGTTAATGTAGTCGACGATAGCAGAAGTGCGGAAAAATAACAAAATTGCGTCGGGCGATAAGCGGAGGGTCCCCCGTAATAGACAATACACGGAACACACCGACCGAAAACAGGCGACGGAGAATTCCCCGTTCCGTTTGATAGATGCGCACACGGGTTGATTGATCGCAGTGTTGTCAACCTTATGATCAGATTTTTTTAATTCTAGATAATTTTTATTATTGACAATATCGTCTATTGTTTTCAGTTCAGGTTGGGGGCCCNACTAATCTAAGTACTAGCCTGCCTCGATGTTGCAAAGATATCACACTCGATATCTATATTACAACTACTTAACGTATTATAAAGTAGTTTTTGAACTCGACAAAAATAACATGTACGATCATTTTGCATTACTGAAAAATTTGAAATCTGCTTCTTCGAAAAATTTTTCGAAAGTATTTTAAAATTGACTAGAAGTGACTTTTAATATAATTTTGCACGATTTGAAATTCCCACAAAATTTTAGTTTCGAAAATGGGGGACAATCAATTTATTATAAACAAAATTACTATCATTTTATTATCCTTCGGTCTTCTCAGTTTTCACTGGGTAACTTTGAGTGAGTGAAGACGGGCTGATGCCAAAGAACTTCATTCACATCTTTTGGGATATGTTATGATGGAACCAATTTGCTTATTTTATTAATATTATATCAGTTGTATAAAATTTGGGAAGAAAATTTATTAAGAAAATGTTTTGAAAAATGACCACGTCGCGCCCCACCGTCCACATTTCGTATCCGTACAGAACCGTACTCCAAACATGTACTACCATCTACCTACATAAAATCGTTTAGCAATCAAAGAGTCATCGTCAGTTGGAGACCGTTGGTCTTCCTACTTTTAATTTTAAATTAACAGTTTACGAGTTATAAAAGTGATTTTTGTATTTCGAAGATGACTCGACCCTGCGCTGTTATTTCCATTTTGTGTCTCTATCACTTATCTGACTTCCTAATTATTATTGAAAATCGTCGACTTCTAGTTTCCCTTCTGTAATTTTTATTATTTTATTAGATATTGTTTTTATTTGTGTATATCTAAATTAGCTTTTCATTATTTACTTATAATATGATTTCTTTTTTATAATAGAGTTGTGGATAAACTGTATTCCATCACTGAAACATTGATTCCATCTTTCCTTTTTCTTTTTTCAATAAAACTGAATTAATATTTATTTTCCCCATAGTCATATTGTGAAAAGACAAAAACTTATTGTTTTTTCAAGTAACTTACAGTTGGTCCTACGTAAAAATTATCTTATAACTACCTATATCGAGGTTTAAACTTTTAGGTTCAACAATTGTCAATTCAAACAGTTGTTACCAACACACATGTGGACAGAGAAGAATCCTAGAAACTAATGAAATAATATTTAGATCTGTTTTTATACTGACATGAGATACAGTTCAGGTTTAGAAAGTATTGATTATGAATGAACATTAAAAACTGATTGAGTTAATAATTATTTATTCAGAGCCTACAAAAAACAGAATAAGTTTTGTATATGTAATGGAGTGCGTTAATTACAGTACTGAACTGTAAATTCCCTTAACGAAGCCATAACTTTCGGTTTTTGTTTATTTAACGTAACAATTTATATATCTGGTAAACTGCAAAGCAATTAAAGTAAATTTACTGAAACATCCAACTAAATTGCACCGATAAATGTTCCAAAAAGATATTCGCTAAATATTTAACATTGCACCTGTAAGAAGCCCAATTTTTTTTTATATAGTAAAATATTTGAATTCAATATTTAATAATAATGAGTGATTGATCGATTGGTCACTAAAGTCATAATCGACAAAAATAAGGTAAAAAGTTTAGTTGGGAAACTGTAATGTAGAAATTACAACAATTTGTATTTTGGACAAATAGAAAAACCATTAAAAGAAGGGTTATAAAGCACTTTAAATTTTAGCAATTGAATACCTATCAATAGAAAAAAAATATGCCTTCAAATAATATCAAAATTCATGCATACGATGAACAAAGCAAAAATGAAATTTTTGATTTTCCTTGGATTTTCCTGTAGTCACCTTTAATAAAAGTTACTTCTATGCTCGCGAACAGTTAATTTAGAAATTCGAAAAAGGTTGTTAAAGGTGTATGTTTGGAGCGCGGCGCTGTACGGGTGTGGAACATGGACAGTGGGCGCGACGGAAAAGAAAAGGTTAGAAGCATTCGAAATGTGCTGTTATAGGAGAATGATGAGGATACCGTGGATAGAGAACGTCAGAAATGAAGAGCTATTAGGAAGTATATGAGAACAGAGGACTCCTATAGAAGTCAATAAGAAATACGCGAGATAGGTTGGTAGGACACCTTCTCAAACATGAAGGTTTAGTCAGAGATATATTAGAAGCAGAAACAGGAGTTAAGAGGAGTAGAAGTAGACGTAGATTAGATTACTATTCGCAAATAGTTAAGGATGTGGGTTGTTCTGGTTTTGGGGAAATGCAAAGATTAACTCAGGATCGAATGGAGTGGAGGTGCGTGTCCAACCAGTCTTAGAACTGACGAACATATGGTGCTGAAGTACATATCGTAAAATTGAAATTAAAACATTAATTTCTTAAACAAGAAATGACACAAATTCAACAGAAGATACAGTTGATCAAAAGATATAGGGACATATTTTATTTTTATCGAGGTATGGATTTTATTCGACGAAAAGTCCAAAAATTGTGGTAAACACATATTAAGAGAATATAAAAATCGATAAAAAATGTTTTTATTTTCATAAAACGTAAGAGTAGTAGATTTTACGTATTATATATATTTAGGTACAGTTTTTTATCTTACACTTCTAAATTTTGTAGTTAAACTTGTATTTGTTTTTTTCGAACCATTTCTATTAGAAATCCCAATAATCCTTGCCCAACAAAACAACTAGCAGCGAAAATATTGCTCCTGATACAAAGGCAATTATAAATTTGATACATTCGTAACTAATAATACTGCCTTTCCTTTCAAGGGCTGTTTTCAAGAGATTGAGTCTTTTTTCAGTGTAAGGTGGGTATCGAATTGCATTGATTTTCTCCAAGAGAGGATTTAAGCTTCTTACTAGAACGCTTTTTCTATGAGTGAACGTTTTGAACGTAACTTTACCATGGTAAGCTCCAATTCCACTTTGGCCGATTCCTCCGAATGGAAAATCTTCAACAGATGCGTGCATTAACGTGTCGTTTACCGTGACACCACCGCAAGACGTCTCATTCAAGAACGAATCGATTATTCTCTTTTCGTTCGTGAATACGTACAGCGCCAACGGTTTATCCCTCGAATTGATGAAATTAATAGCATCGTAATGACTTTCGACGTTCAAAATGGGCAAAATTGGTCCAAAAATCTCCTCCTGCATAATGGAATCGTCAGGTTTGACGTCTACTATCAAAGTAGGCCCGATAAATCTTTCTTCTTCATCTGTTTCTCCCCCGAACGCCACTTTACTATCTGCAATCAATTTCGCCAGTCTGTGGTAATGTCTGTCATTAACGATGCGACAAAAGTCCGGGGAGGTTTTTACGTCTCTCCCGTACCATTCCCGAAATATCGATTTTGCCTTCGCCAAAATCTCACGTTCGGCCTTCCTTGAACATAAAATGTAATCGGGAGCGACACAAGTTTGACCAGCGTTCACACATTTTCCCCACAACAATCTTCTAGTTGTTATTTCGAAGTCCACGTCATCACCAACGTATGCTGGACTCTTCCCGCCCAACTCCAAAGTAGTTGGGATCAAATGTTTAACTGCTGCTGCCTGCACAACTCTTCCGGCGTTTGATGAACCCGTGAAGAAGATATAATCGAATTTCAATTCCAACAACTTCACTGTTACATCTATCCCACCTGTAACTACGTGGTAACAGTCGTTGTCTAAATATTGAGGAATCAACTGGGAAAGGAGTTTGGTAGTGTTGCATGCGACTTCGGAAGGCTGAAGGACGAAACAGTTGCCTGCAGCTATGGCCCCATGAACTGGTAATAGACAAAGTTGTAAGGGATAATTCCAAGGTGAGATTATCAAAACAACTCCGTAAGGATCTTTGTGAACAAAGGTTTTGTCGAAGAGTGTGACGAGCGATTTCGGATATACTTTTGGTTTTGCCCAGTTTTTGAAGTTTTCAATTACGTTTTGCAGATCGTTTTTCAATAGCATCAGTTCCATTACGTATGATTCTGTTTTGCTCTTGTGTAAATCGTCTTTTAGCGCTTGAAACATTGCGTCCTCGTTTTCATTGTACATCTTTTGTAACGCTCTAAGTTGCTTCTCTCGAAACTCCAGTGGTTTTGTGCGTCCATCTTCAAATGCCCTTCTCGCAACGGCCAGAATTTTTTCACAGTCAACCATACTCTCGTTGGTTTCTATAATGTAGAAATTACCGTAAGGATACATGCTGTTGTGTTTCAGTGAATTACAATTTTGATTAAAAGAATTTTTGATTTTATTAAATGTCATTTTTTTGTGGTTTTAGGTTTTGGTTATAAATTAATTGTGACATGAGTCATGACTATCTAACACTTTTAAATCATTATTTAGTGTTTTACAATTAACTCCTTATTACGTGAACTTCTTTAACTTAAAATTCCTGTGGGGTTTATAGATAAATGAAGTTCGTCAATATGCATTGCACGCCCAAAAATTTTTATTTATAAATAAGAGAGAAAAAAAAAAGGAAATTCAAAAGTGAAAAACTTTTTATTGGAAAAGATTAGAATTACGATATAAAGGGGTATCAATACGAGAAACATTGAAAACAATTAAGTTTTAGAGAAACTACCCAAATTCTCAGTCCTAAAGAATGGAACGTCAAAAATGTCTAAGTAAAGGACATGCGCTTTAATGTGACGCAAAGGACAAAGTAACAATAGGGGGACGATTATGGGTTCTGAGAGTCAAATAGCTAGCAGAAAAATAATGCTATGAATGCTTACCAAAACGGCGGTCTTTAACAGATGATGACCTGCATGCAACTTTTATATGAATTACAAAGAATTTAAAGGTTTTGTGGCATTCAAAGGACAATAGTAAGGATGTTCTTAGATTAACTGCTTTTGTGCCTCAAAGTGCAATTATAATACTCTTTTTAAGCTTAAAAGAGATATGATATGGAAGACCTTAGAGGAGCTAAAAATAGACAACAAATTAAAAGAGAGGATAAGAGAAATGTTCGATANTTAAAACATCTAATACCAACAGTGATTTTTCTAATTTTGTTATTTTTGTAGATGATCCACCATATTTGGAAGATTATTCAAATTAATTTGTTGAAGATCTTCTGTTGACATGGTGTTTTACTTTAATGCAGATAAACATTCCTATTTTATTTTTTTTCTTCCTCTAGTTATAAATTTTTAATCGCTTAATTTCGATGGAAACCAGTAAGCAATATGCTAAATTCATCAACCATCATGTACCAACAGTTATTTCAATTTGCATATTTTTCGACTCTTTCACTTTTTTTTAGCCATATTACCTCATATATAGCATGTACAATTTATTGATTTATTCTCTTCTAAAGTTCGCAGAAACAAGTCTTTTGGAGTAAATGTATTAAAAGGGTTAAATTGAAAGGTTTTATGTTCCTTTAGGTACTGATTTAAATTCCAGCTGTGGTGTTATCGACTACGAAAAATTCGAATACAACCCTGATTGAAAGTTTCCATTAGGAAAGTGACGGCCGCTTCACAACTTATTCAATTTGAAAGAAGCCGAACTCCTCCTTTTGAAACTTATTAGCATTTCGAAAATAATACCAGCTTGTCACGTAAAATAACACGGAGCACTAGATGTTGTTCGTTCGCAGGTCGACGCGTCGTTCTGCGGCCCTGCTGGCAGGTTCGTTATAAAGAATTCCGAACGAAAATTACACTGCTTACTAATTATTATAATTTCGCGTACAGTTTCTGGGAAATAACAGTTCAGCATATTTGCTATTTTTAAAACACTTATAATAAACGAGAAATCCTTCTCACAAACAAAAAAAGGAACAAAAAGACGTTGAAGAAAAAGTTGTCTAAGAATTAAGTACTGTAGATATATAGGGTTGTTCGGAAAGTCATTTCGTTTTTTTCCTGACAGAGGATTTAATTGTATTCTTTTGCACCCAACTTCACATTTAAGCCGTATAATTTTTATATGCTTTGAGAGCTCATATATCAAGGCTTGCGTGTGAAAAATTCCAATTAATTCTACGCAGTAGTTTTTGGTTGGTGCCCTTTTTTCGACATATCTTACTGTTTTAGTACAGAAAGGGTAAAAATGCTGTTCAAGCCAGAAAGAAATTGCCTGATGTGTATGGAGAAGGTGTGTTGACAGTACGCCAGTGCCAGAACTGGTTCGCTAAATTTCGATCCGGCAATTTTGATGTCGAAGATGCACCACGTTCGGGAANGGTGAACAGGGGTAAAGTAGGCAAAAATTATTGCAAAAGATCATGAAGTACCCTGATTGGTTCTCATTATTTCGCAAAAAGTTTCAAACAAGACTTGTATGCTTTCGAAGGGGACTTTCACCATCGAGATCATTTCAAGGTCGAGTCAATTTTGGTTTTCTCTTCCTTCGTTAAAAACACTCATGGAGTTGTTTATTAGACGTTTTGCTTCCTTTGGGAACCCAACAGGAACGTAAAGTCCTTTGCTATGGTTGTACTGAAGCTTGACAGACTTCTGCTTATGGACTCCTTTTAGGAATCGTGGGAATAAGTGGATGGTACGATTGGGGTGTAAATTGATGACATAAGAGAAGTGAAAGATTATTGTTGGAATATTGTTAGTGCTCTAGCACGGGCTCAAGTGAATCAACAAAACCACCAAAAAATTTGGATTTGGGCAGACGGATGTGGGATCGAACCGAATTCGAATCCTTCTGATCTTCGATCGAATTCTTCTGAATTCTATGAACTATGAAGTGGTCTAAACCATTAGACCATGCTGCTTGATATGGGCATTTGACGTGGCGATACATTTGTGATAATTAAATGTTATTGTTGCAGAATAAAATATTAGCACCCCTTAGGTAATCGGAAGGTTATAAAATGNAACAGGGGTAAAGTAGGCAAAAATTATTGCAAAAGATCATGAAGTACCCTGATTGGTTCTCATTATTTCGCAAAAAGTTTCAAACAAGACTTGTATGCTTTCGAAGGGGACTTTCACCATCGAGATCATTTCAAGGTCGAGTCAATTTTGTTTTTCTCTTCCTTCGGTAAAAACACTCATGGAGTTGTTTATTCGACGTTTTGCTTCCTTGGGGAACCTAACAGGAACGTAAAGTCCTTTGCTATGGTTGTACTGATGCTGAACAGACAGTTGAAAAACAAACTGATGCTGGGCAGGTGTCCCTGGACTCCTTTTAGAAATCGTGGTAATAAGTGGATGGTACGATTGGGGTGTGAATTGATGACATTAAAGAAGTGAAAGATTATTGCTGGAATATTGTTAGTGCTCCAGCACTTGCCCAAGTGAATCAACAAAACCACCAAAAAACTTGGATCGGGGTAGACGGATCTGGGATCTAACCGGTGTTCTTCTGAATTCTATGAACTATGCAGTGGTCTAAACAATTAGGCCATGCCGCTTGATATGGGCATTTGACGTGGCGATACATTTGTGATAATTAAATGTTATTGTTGCAGAATAAAATATTAGCACCCCTTAGGTAATCGGAAGGTTATAAAATGGCTAGGAACTAAATAAATGTTTCATTTTGTTATTGACATGTTCGCTTTAACCAGAAATAAGATAAAGTATTTCGTATAACAGTATTATCACTTATTCCGTGATAAAAATAATCCCTAGACCAACTAACAATAATTATCAGTATCATACCTTTTAAATTTTTATTCTTCAACCAAGTTAGTGAGCCACAATTTTCTTCGTTTTATTCCACAGTTTACTATGCACTAAATGATTGTTACGATGCAAAACAAACATTGACCATCAAGAATGTATATGCATACGACGACTGTAATGAAGATTATAATACTTCATGGTTTATTAAAATCGACGGTTGACCTTTGCCACAGTCTAACGACTAATAATTAACAGAAAAATGATATTAATGTCAATTCATTGGTATGTAGCGACATGTTGATCGTTAGCAACCACATTAGATGCAATTTTTTTCATAACAACTACGCAAAGTCAATTAAAAATCTGCCTTTCGGGCATCTATGTTAAAATATTTTAAGTAAAAAGTAAAAAGGTATATAAGGTAGTATTAAAAGGTCTGTATTACGAAACTTTTTATAGCAGATAACTGACTAAATCCCTGGACCTTAGTCTTGTATTCTCTCCTTTACAGTGACCGAAAGGTCCGTGAAATCAATTTAGCTTGTTTTTGTTTATAAATATCAAAATGCTTTAATGTCAATCCATCGCAAAATCTTTTTTTAAATGATTTGGAATTTAGATAATTTCCGTAGTTTTTCATTTAAATTTCATTTTTCAAATTCTTTCTGTGACCTGTGAAAACAATGCAGGTCAGTCGATTCACTGATGAAATGATTGATTTTTTATCATAAATATCTGCTACTCTATTGCGTACACCCACTCAACAGAAGCGTTTTACATTTTGCATAAATCTTTATTTGTTAAATAATTTCAAATAACAATTTACAACATCCTTCAGGATCTGATTAAACTGACGCTGTCTTGATTTAGTTTAAAGGCCGTAGGCGGTTGAAATTTCTTCCAACATCAATGCTGGATGTTGGCGTCCACATATATAGCATCGAAGATGGAAGAACTTCTGAAGAAATCTTGCACGCGAAACGTTAGGAAGGAACTCCAACCGACGAGGGCCTTTAGAGCTGAATCAAGACTGCATCAGCTCACCATCTGGCCACCATTACCAATTTGTCAGTTTCTAATTGTTAATTTTATCATCAAGCTATAATAACAATAATAAAACCTTAACGGTGCAGATTTTAATTCGGAAAACAAAATTGTAAACGAAAAATCCAAAATTGAAATGTGGAAATTAAAAGCGCTTCATGAAAAATATCAAAACCAACAACAGCAGGAACATATAAAAAACGAAGTTTCTAACATGAAAACAAAAAACTATAAA